ACCCGTTGATCTTACTACCGCTCCTGAGCCAAAGAACATAACAAATATTGCACCAACTCGTCCTCCTCTAGCAGCTCTTGCAGGTAGGACCAGATCACGCTCTCGGCAAAGTAAGTTTTATATCCTCTTCTTTCCATTAATACTTTTATTTGGTTTATATGATACTTAACAATGGATAATGTAATTCTAGGCACATATTCCAATGCACCAGAGAAATCTGGTACCAAATCTAAAGAAACTCACATTGATTTCTATGTTCCTTTGCAAAGTATTCCCCCATCCTCGGCTACTCAAGTAATACTCCTAACCAAATCATATATATCCTTTTTGATGCATACCATTCCCTTACTTAAACTTCTTCTCCAGAAAGCTACAAGAAGGAAGACCATAGGAAAGAAACTCAAAAAATCAAGAGCCAAGAGACATTTTGATTTGATTGATGATGATGAAGCAGATGATGATGAAGTCATCTCCATGAAGAAGAAGTCTGCTACTGAATCTCCCAATGTAATTTCTTTCTGCCTGATCTTATATATATATTACTCCTTGAATATAATTAAATCAGCATTATTTGTAGAAAGCTCAAGTCTCCTCAGATCAAAAATCAATTCAGGAAATCTCTACTGATCATGTCGAAGATGAAGACAAAATTGAAGTGTCAGTAGGACAAAAATCAAGGTCTCTAATATCTTCCCCAAACCTGGCTGCAACTTCAATTGGTGAACAAATTGGAGATTCTGATGAAGTGAGTAACGACATATTTATATATATATACATTTCTTTTATGTCCTGTTCTTGTCAACTTATTATGGCTATGGCATGTTTCAGGTACAACATGGCTCGGCTAATCCAACCAATCCTGTCAGTACCAACCCAAGCTCTCCCTTTGACAACCTTGACTCTTTATTTGATTCTGTCTTTAACTCACTTGATCTTAATCCTCCTGAAATTCCAACTGAACCATCCTCTGACATACCCCCAGAAGTAATAAAAGCCATCCAGATATTGTCCCAAATGGTACAATAGGATTTGTCTCTTACCCCTTCATTCAAAAATGAACTGGCCAAGACACTTTCTTTCCTTGGTAGTTATTTTGGATTCTCCCTGAATAATCAAACCTTCTTCAAAAATTTCCAGCTTCGAGTGCCTTATTTGACAACTGTTTATGCTGAATCAATCCATACTATTGATCACTGTGATACCCCTCGATTCTAGAGCCACGGGTGATCAAGTCCGAGCACAGATCTGCGGGATACCAAACAATTAATATGTAAACAAGCAGAAATAAAACTGAATTAAGGATAAATTAATAATACGCTGAAAGAAATCTAAAATAAGAATCCTCAAACTTGAAATAATAAATTAATATAATTTAAAACCGTACAACTCGGAAATCCACCTAGTGAACCCCTAATCCCAAATCCTTGAATAAATTTACAGTATTAAAATCCAAAACCAAAATAGAAAGGAAATCTTATGTAATCGGAAGAGTGAGTGTCCGTATCTGCATCAACACGATCAATCTCTAAGCCTGGTACTGGCGTATACCTGAAAAATAGGAGTGGGTCAGGCCCACATGCAAGTCCCAATCTACTACAATCCGTACATAAACCCGATACGCAGATACATCCTAGATAGCTCTGCAATATCTACAATAGTCCATATATATATATATATATACACACTATAGGATGCTCACTAGCCTATAACATAGTTCAACCTGGGTAGAAGGTGACATATAAAACACGTTTTTCAGCGGCCAAGTACCTAGACCTACTAGGGAACATTAGCTATACCTAGCCACTTAACCTTTGCAATATACGCACCCTAACCGTGATCAGGAGACTTAAGCTCATACCACGGTACCATAAATACATATATAAATTCCTTCCTAATACTAAAAAGTAAAGCAACCATCCGTTATGTCGTTCAACTATTTTAGTTGACAGGACATGCATCCATGTAGGATTTAACTGTTTTAGTTAATCCATTCCTTATGTATGAATGGGTAGAGATTAGTGTTGTGACCTAATTTGTCCCTCCATATGCCACCGTCCCATACCGGAGCATACATGCAAATGATCTATAAATGATGCAACATTTTATCAGCACATCAAATAAATCCACATAATCCAAGTAGTTGATAACACAAAATTTAAACAGTTCATCAACTAATAATCCAAAATCCATCCATGTAGTTAATGAGACAAAGTTTAATAGTTCATCAAGTTAAAATCCAGAATCCATTCATGTCATTGAAAATTTAATTCATTTAACTGAAATTTCAGCTAACCCATAGTACAGTCCAGCAATTGACAACATTAACAATAGTAAAGTGTCAATTATAAATCTGAGAATGACAAACTATAACTCAGAAAATCCACAGTTCTAACCAATATTTGCTGGAACAGATAGAACAGTTCAACAATTAAAATAACGATCTCCATTTAATTAATGAAACCTAATTTATTAGTTCCTTAATTAAAATCTAACCTATGCACAAATAAGGTCTAACAGACCCATGACCCTATTCTGTACCCAACATAGATTTCAAAACCATCCTCCAGTCATCTAAGTTGCTAAATTAAGTTTACACAACTAGATACTTTATAATCGCCAACAATGTGTGTCATTACTTAAAACTCCCACACTGTGAAAACCTTTAGCATATTAGAATAAATTATTCATTGTGAGTCCTAATATAGCATAATATCCTGTTTAGACACCATGTAACAGTCCGTTAAATTTTTAAAACAAAACTTAGCGAATTAGTCCTTCCTATCCGTTAGCAGCATACAAAGTCGCATATTTTTTTACCCTGTCCTGTTGTATACTTCCCTACAGTTAATTCCATGAGTACTAAGACATTAATTTATTAGAAGTGGCTCTAATATAGCATGGTGTAATGTTTGGAATCCATGTTCCAACTCTTTTAATTGCTAGACACAGTTTAAGCAATTAAACCTTTACCATCCGTTATATCCGTAAACAGTCTGCGACTTGTCTTAGATTTTCCCACCGTTTAATACATTAGCATATAAATAAATTAATGCATCCTAGGGCTCTAATATTTCATGAATTAATATATAACTTCATATGCCTAGCCCAAACACAGCTCAGAAAAATCACCAACGAGCCAAACAACGCACAAACCACTCCAGTAAGTACATAAAATCACAGAGCCTGCTCTTAGGAACATAGAGCAGGCTCTAACCTACATAGAGCCGGCTCCCATAACCCTTGGAGCTGGATCTAATAGAGGGGGAGCCGGCTCTTTGCTTCCTAGAGCCGGCTCTCTCTCTTTGAGAGCCTCCTCTGCTTCAACTGCTTCGTTCTGCTTCGTCCGGTTGTCGTCTGTGATTCCGGCGAAGTCCAGTGTCCTATTCCAGACCTTTTTAAGATTATTAGGGCCCATTAAAGCTCTTAAACCCCTAGAGACTCCTCCTATTCCAGTGTGAACCAATTGACAAAAACTTAAACTACACATAACAACTTATGCAAGAATTAATTTAAACTTTTAAAAAAACACAGAACAGATTACCGAAATCATCTAGCATGCATAAAGTCCATTTTTAAACGTTTAATTAAGTTCCTGGAGTCTCTATAAGATGCACAGAACACAAGTTTACAAGAGAGGAATAGACTAAAACTTGCCTTTAGGTTTCGGTTTGAAACCTTTCAACACCATTGCTAAATTCTCCAATGAACTGTAGACTACCTGCAACTGCAACTCTCCTACGGTTCCAGTTCTATCTCACCCTCAACCTCTTCCTTCCTCTATGGTACACCCTCAGTCCATAGTTGAAAGCTTAATTGATTCGCCCAGTTTTCCCTCTGTGTTTTCCCTTCCAACCCTCTCTGTTTTTCCTTTCAATACACTTTTACGTGAAAAAGGATTTGTCCCAACTCTAGCAGACTTATAAGAATATATATATAGCCATCCCAGGTTTAATTAAAACCTAACCTAAGTTAGCATCCAAACCATATAAAAATAAAACCCTAATCCTATATTAAATACAAGACCAAATAAAACAATTAATGTAGACAACTAACCAAATAAGTCATATAAAATGCACCTCATTTATCATTAAATAATTAAATTAAAACAATCTCAATTCAACAATTAAATTAAATACACACAAATAGTAATAAATCAATTAAGCAAATAAAACAATTAAGCTAAACAAATAACAAATAAGTCCAATTATTAAATTAAAAAAAATGAAATACAAATCAAAATTGAAAATTAAATTTCCATTTTATCCTTTTGAAAACTAGGGGTATTACAATCACTACTCTTCCCAGTATCATGAGAAAGAAAAGCTTTCTCAAACTTTCAAGAAAGGAAAAGAGATGCATCTATCCTTAAAGAAAGAGGCTGTCGAGCTAGATGCTAAGGAGAAAAAGCTTCAAGCTGAACTTGCTCAACTTCAGTTGGACAAGACAAAGCTTGGTAGTAAGGTGGCTGATCTAAGGGTTCAAGCGAAAACCGCAGCTCTCAAATTCAAATCTTTGCAAGCACAGATGCCGAAGTTGGAACAAAACAAGAAAGTGGCAGAAACATCCCTTAATCAATCTCGGGCTTTGTGGGCAGACTTCAAAACCAAATTTGAAGAATTTCACAGTAATTTTACCAGAATTTGAACATTCATGGGTCTGTAATATGTTTTGAACAATTTGCCTTTTGTGATGTGTTGAATAGTCTTGCTATGATATTTTTGCTTTTAAAGTATACTGAGCTTTTACTATATAACCATACTTATTCATAATTTATTCAAACAACAAGGTAAAAATACAATCCAAACTATTTTGACTTAACTGGAAACTTCTTTTCTTCCATAAGCTCAAAAATAGTTGGCTTATATTTTTTAAGGTACCTTCCATTTATTGGCCTTTCATGCACTTCACCATCTAGATTTTTTAACTTATAAGCTCCTCCATGCAATACTTGGTGAATTAAGTATGGACCCTTCCAAGTAGGTGACCACTTGCCATAAACCCTATCCACCTTTCCAGGTGGAAGAACTGTTTGCCAAACCATATCGCCCTCTGCAAATGACTTGAACTTCACCCTTTTTTTTGTAAGCCCTCATGACTTTTGCTTTATGCATCATAAGGTGATCCAAAGTAAGTTTCTGGACTTCATCTAAATCTTCGAACTCGGCAAGCATAGCTTCATTATAATCGACAGGAATGAGATTATGTTGTAAGGCAACACTTGCCGATTTTATGTTTAACTCCATTGGCAACACTGCATCATGACCAAACGTTAGCCGATATGGAGTTGTCCATGTACTTGTCCTTTTTGAGTTTCTATAGGCCTATAAGGCTTCTGAAAGGGTTTCATGCCAACGCCTCGGCTTGTCTTTTATCATCTTATTAATAATTTCAATCACAACTTTTTGATGCTTCTGCCTGGCCATTCCCTTGAGCATAATAGGGTGTTGAGGTAACCATTTTCACTTTCATATCAATGCCGAGCTGTAACACTTCATTCGCTCGAAAAACAGAACCATTATCGGCAACAATTATTTCCAGTAATCCAAATCGATGAAAGATATGTTGCTCCAAAAACTGTATAATGGTATTATGAATCACCGATACATATTCCTCAGCTTCTACCCATTTAGTAAAATAATCAGTAGCGAGAATAATCCAATGATGACCCTTTGATGAAGGAGGATTAATCTTGCCGATTAGATCCATAGCCCAACCTCTGAAAGGCCATGGTTTAACTAGTAATTGCATTTCTATTGTTGGGACCCACTGCATTGGCCCATGTTTTTGACAGTCTATATAGCCTTTTGCATAAATCATATAATGTTTTCTCATTCCTGGCCAATAATATCCATATCGGCGCATCAACCACCTCATTTTTATGCTAGTTGGTGAGCTCCACATATCCCTTCATGTACCTCAGCCATGATCTTCAAACCTTCAAACTTGCTAATGTACTAAAATAACAAACCATCATCAGCCGATCTTCTATAAAGATCTCCATCTATAAGCACATAATCAACTGCACTTCTTCTAATCTTTGATCGGCTTCAGGAGTTGGATGTTGCGAGAACAGGATGTAAGGAATTCGCCAATCATCATCATCCAATTCGGCAACATCAGTAGCAAAGACTTCTTCCATAATTTGATTTCTTGTTTCAGCTGATGGAAGAGATCGGCGTGTAATCTTCATTACTCTTTCCTTCATTCCACTTGGCACCTTAACTCTTGAAGCCGTCTGTGTTAAATCATTAGCTGTTTTATTCATGGCCCTTGGTCTATATTCCAAAGTCACATTGTGAAATTGGCTAACCAATTGGGTTGCTAATGAATGGAATGATCTTAATTGCCAATTCAAACATCTAAAGTCTTCTGAGATTTGATTAATCACTAAACTCGAATCTCCCCCAATGTGGACATCTTTGACTGCCATTTCCAACAGAATTTCCAAGCCGATAATCAATGCTTCATACTCGGCTTGATAATTAGAGCACCTGAAATCCAAAAAGAAGTAAAACGAAATTTGATTCCCTGTTGGGGATATTATAACTATACCAGCACCCGAGCCTTCACTGGTACTTGACCCATCGAACATTAAAGTCCATGGAGTCATGAATATGGATGCCGAGTCAAGCTCATCAAATACTTGTGACCCAATTTCGGGCGAGGGATGATCAGCAAGAAAATCTGCCAATGCTCTTCCCTTAATTGCCTTTTGTGGAACATATGCAAAGTTGAATTCCATTAGCGCCAAAGCCGACTCGCCAATCCGGCCTATGATTAATGGCCTTGATAGCATATACACTATAAGATCGGTTTGGCAAACAATATAAACCAAAATAGGCAACATATAGACTCTTAATTTCATTGCTGCAAAATACAAGGCCAAACATAATTTCTCAATCAGTGTATATCTACACTCGTCTGGAGTTAAAACTCGACTGAGGTAATATATTGCTTGTTCACTTCCTGCTTCATTCTCTTGTGCAAACATAGCTCTAATGGATTCTTCAGCAGCCGATAAGTATAATTTCATCGGCCATTTCTTTCTTGGCGGCATCATGACAGGAGGACTCGATAAGTATTGCTTAATCTAGTCAAATGCCCTTTGATGATTATCATCCCATCTGAATTCTTCCATCGGCTTCAACTTAAGTAGCGGGGAAAACACATGTAACTTCCCAGCTGTATTAGCAATAAATCTCCTAAGATAATTCACTTGTCCAAGTAACCTCTGCAACTGTTTCTTGCTTCTCGGTGCACTAGCATCAATAATCGCCTTAGGTTTATTCCTATCGATCTCTATACCCTTTTGATGAACCAAGAAACCCAAAAATTTTCCTGCCGATACTCCAAAGGCACACTTTATTGGATTCATTTTTAGCTTATGAGCCCTCATCCTCTCAAAAGATGCTTTGAGGTGGATTAGATGCTCTTTCCTTGTTGCTGATTTCACCACCACATCATCAATGTACACCTCCATAAACTTGCCGAGCATATCATGAAAAATAGAATTCATGGCTCGTTGATATGTGGCCCCAGCATTCTTCAACCCAAAAAGGCATCACCACCCATTCAAAAGTTCCAATCGATCCGGGACACCTAAAAACTGTCTTTGGAATGTCCTCTTCGGCTATATAAATCTGATTATAGCCTGAGTGTCCATTCATAAAAGACATAATTTGGTGCTTTGTAGCCGCATCAATCAACTGATCAGCTATCGGCATTGGATATTCATCTTTTGGAGTTGCCAAATTTATGTTTCGGAAATCAACACATATACGTAATTTTCCATTCTTCTTGATAACAGGGACAACATTTGATAACCATTCAATATACTTTGTAGTTCGAATGAAGCCAGCATCCAACAATCATTCGATTTCCATTTTGACTTTGTCTACCACTTCTTGAGACATTCGACGAGGTGGCTGTTTATATGGCTTGTAGCTATCTTTAATGGGCAACCGATGTTCCACCAAATCTCTGGATAAACCCAGCATTTCTTTATAGTTCCAAGCAAAATAGTCACTGTATTGTTTCAATATGCCGATAACCTCGGCTTGTAATTCTAGTTCTAACAGTGCACTAATATAAGTAGGTCTAGGCTCTGTGTCAGTGCCTAAATTCACCTCCTTTAAAGGATCCTGAGTGTCTGCTTTAAGATCATCGAGCTTTGTTGGCGCTAACTCCAAGTCTTCTAACTTAATTGCATCTAACTTTTCATTACTAAACCGATCAATCTCAGTAAGATTGACCGATGGTCCTAGCTCTATTATTGCTTCTTTCTCTAGCCCTTTTTCGGCTATGTACGCTTAAAGCCTGATGCAAGCGGCCCTAAAGGCCTGCTGCCGAGCAGTTTCCCTTTCAAGTTTCACTTCTATCAATAACTTCTTCAATTATAGCAAGCCGAGGGAGTTCTACCTTCGGCCTGGAATTCTCCTGCTGTAACTCGCATATTTCACGATCGGCAAGACTTATTCTCATGGTTGCCGAGGTTGGTCTTCCATCGGCTCCTGTTCCCACAAACTGGATAGGAACACATTCTTCGTCATATAAAACAGCATCTGCCAAATACACTTTTGCCACAAATGGCTTATCATCGGTATTTACTATTTTTACTTTATCTCCATCCCAAAAAATCAACATCTGATGTAATGATGATGGGATGCACATATTTGGATGAATCCAATCACGGTCTAATAACAAATTATAGGAAGCCGTGGATTCAATAATAAAAAATGCCGCATAAGACGTCCTACCTCCAACCTCTACTTCTAAAGGAATGATCCCTTTAGTGCTGGTAGAACCTCCGTTGAAACCACAAATTGCTACATCAGTAGGAATAACATCTTCCATACTCTTGCCGAGTTTCTTCAATGTGTTTGCTAGAATAACATTCAAAACTGAGTCATTGTCTACCAAGACTCGATTAATAGGTTGACCTTCTACCCACACCTTAACATACAAAGGCTTGAGCTGTTGAGTCATTGCTAACAAAGGTTTTTCAAAAATCACCTTCTCTGCCGATTCTGAGGAAAGAATTGATAAATTCCGAATCGGCTGAGTTTCCTTCTCATTCTTCTCAGTATTTGCATTTGATGCCGATGGAGCCTGGAACATTACGGGTAATACAAATGCCATGTTACATGACATCTCGTCTGGGAAACTACCAAACTGAATTCTGAATTCATTGTTACGTCTAAGCCACGTCGGCTAATACTCTTCATCCGGGTTATCTTTATCTGGAATGCCGATAACCTCAGCTTGCACTACTTTGCTTCCTCCTCCAGCTTTTCTTTTTTCCTCAGCCCTTCTCCTTTGTTCTCTACGCTTCTGAGATCGAGTTAGGCCCTTATTCTGAGATTGTTGAGCTTTAGGGAACTTTGGATGATTAACTCGACTCCATCTATCTTCAGTCGAGTTTGTCCTTGGTTTCCTAGTTCGTACTCTATATGAATTAGCCCCTTTCTATACCCAAATCTCTAACTGAACCGGTTACTGCCTTTTTAAAATTGGGATCGACTAGATATATCACCTTGTCGAGTTAGCCTTCCTGCTTTCAAATGGCTGTTGTTGGAATCACCTTGCCGAAGCTCCTCCCTAGGCTTCAACGAGAAAATAAGCCTCTCAAGAATTCCTTTCTTCTTTGGTTGAACCTCCATTGGCACGTCTTCCTTTGGTTGTTGCTTTCCTTTGTAATTTAGGTAACAACCATTATCAATCAAGGCTAATTGAGCCTCTCTTAATTGCTTTTACAATTCTGCCATCTTTTCAGGTGTCGCGGTTGATGAAAGGTACTCACCAGATAACTTCTCTACCTCCTGCCGATTCTCTCGCTTGGCTAAGCTTATTACATTTGTAGATGTGATTGTTGGAAACGGATTAGTATCTACTTTCATGGTCTCTGGAGTTTTCTCCGGGAATTTTAAAGTGCCTTCGTCAATAGCTTTCTGCAATACACCTCGTAAAACAGTACAATCATTAGTAGCATGATTCCAAGAGTTATGATACTTACAATACTCTTTTCCCTTCAAGTCACTTGCCGATGGAATCCTATGCCCTTTCGGCAAAGATATCATTTTATCGGCCATCAAGTGATCAAAAATTTGATCTATTTTTGATAAGTCGAACAAATAACTTTTCCCGATATCGGTAGGACTTTTCCTTGCTGCTGATGTTAATGTTGATGAATTGCCCCCCGTGGTCGGTTTAGGTTTAACCAACGCCTCACAAACGTATGGCTTTTTGATATTAACCTCTGCGACGTCAACTTCTAATTCATCTCCAACTTCTGCAGAGAATACCTCATGATTAGGGTCCTTGTATCAAGTACCCTTAGAAGAATTTTTCCTCTCTTTCTCTTCTTTTAGTATTTCCTCATACCGAGAAGCCCTGTCTGCCAAATCAAAGAGATCTTGAAACTCAACCCCATCAAACCTATTGTGATGTTCAATGTCTAAACCATTTAATGCCAACTTGATGTATTCTAGTTCTGGCAAACTTACTAGGCATTTGAGTTTAACCTTTCTGAACCTGGCGATAAAAGTCTCAACCAATTTACTCGGCAACTGAGATAATCGAGATATGTCTGCCAGTGTAGCTTATGTCTCTGTTCGGTAGAATTGGGTATGGAACGCTTCTTCCATCTCATCCCAAGTCTGAATAGAATTAGCCGGTAAGTTGTTGTACCATTCAAAAGCTGCCCCGGCAAGAAAGCTAGAGAACAACCTCATCCTTAACCCAGGGCTAGGACCAGCTTCTCCACATTGTGCAGTGAACCTTGTAATATGCTGTACTGTAGAGAAGTTTTCTTCGCCACTGTACATAGAAAAATCAGTATACCGATAATTTCTAGGCAACTCATGGGCATCAACATGATCAGGATAGGGCTTTCTGTATACCAGCCGAGCACGTCTGCGACCTTGTGCTACTTCAGCCTGTATTAAAGCCAAAATCTGAGCCCTATCAATCCCTGCATTTCTTCCTGGAGGATCATTTGGGTGCCGCGGAATAAATGGATTAACCTACTCCCTTTGTGGATCGGCATTCACTTGCCCCCCAGCAGCCGTTGGAGGTATCAAAGGATTGACCCTACCTTGGTTTAGATGGCCGACACCTTCTTGCTGATTTCTCACTGGTGGAATCAGTTGCTCATTGGAACGTTGCACAGGCTGATCATTCATTAATGGCTGGAACATCAGCACAGGATTCACCACCAACGGATTTGATAAGATTAGTGGATTTCCCATTGGCATGCCAAGTGTATGATTCGGCACGTTGCTGATCGTAACACCAAGTCCTGCACTTGGCAATATGGTGCTTGTTCGAGGTCCTTGGGATATATGAACCAATGGTGCCGTCAAACGCTGAAAAATGGACTCATTGACTGATCTTGTCGGCTTTGATTCGCCTGTACATTGGTTTCAAGTTTCTGATTCATCTTCTCCAACTGAGTGTTTAACTCCCCTGTCATTGACCTCATCTGAGCCACCAGAAGCTGATTTGATTCTCCCATTTGGGATCTTACCTCGCCGATCTGTACTTGCTGGGCATCAATTTTTTGCATAATTGATTCCAGTACCCGACTCAAAGGGATGTCAGATGGAATAGATGAGTCAGCATCATCGCCTACGCCGATCTGTGGATTTTCTTCATCACTATTATCTCCTGTATTCACGCCTTTCGAACCTCTTAGCTTTGGAGGCATCTTTACTACAACTTACTCACCTGATGGGGTCCCACCGGGTGTGCCAAAAATGTTAACCCTAAAATCGGCTGGCTAGAGCTGATCTTAAATTGATGAGTAAACGGGCATGCCAAAACTAAATATATGGTTCGATTGTATTTTGTCAACTTATAGTCTCTTAGGGAATGTTGACTTCAGACGATTATAGGAGATAGAGAACAAATAAACTCCTAAATGAGTTCAATATTGCCTTAATTAAAAGGACTTTCTGTAAACAAATTATAGTAATCGTAACAAGAGAATAGAAAAGGGAGATAATGGATATAGCAAGAAAAGAAAAGGAAAGAATAAGGAAAGAGGAAGAGAGAGAGAGA